GAAAGAAAGGTATCTGTTACAGGCAGATTTCACTGCATTCTACTCAGCATGATTTTCTCAGCCTGGAGGTTTCACAGTAAAGCACAGCCGGCGTTCCATGACTGAGCAAACCCAGCAGAGATCGTATCAACCCGACGGAGGGGTACCTGTTTGATGAGTTCCTTCAGAGTAAGCAGACGCCCATGGATAGAGGCATCGTGTAAAGGAGACCAGTCTGAAACGAAGTCTGTATAAAGAGAAAGACGGGAATAAGGCTAACAACTCCATGGGCTGTTTCCTTAGTGTTTGTTTCTTCACTGTGTGATCCCAGTAAACCTCACTGATTTATTACAGGAGCTGCCAGGCTTTCCTCGGAGCAGCTGCCGCAAGGGAGGAAGACAAGAAGACGGCTTCTCTCTGCATGTGTTTTTAACTCATCCCATGTCAGCGCTGAGCAGCTGGGCTCCCCTTCAGCAGATGAGAGAGGGATTTGCAGAACATCACCTCGCTCTGACTGAACTTATCCTTCACTTTGAATTAGTTCCAGTGCTTTTGTTTTCACAAGCTCATTACGTTTTATCAATTAGCTCAGAAGGACTACGTTTTGAAGAGAGTACGGCTGCTCAGTCATTTACCCCTGCTTTGAGATGGGCTAGAGCCAACAATACCTAACCAGAGGAGGTACCAAAGTACAAGGAGATAAGTTCTGTTGCCTGTTGATTTTGCCAGTGTTTGGTGTTAGCCTTGTGCAGTGGTGCATTTTGAATAGTAGTCGTATTCTCTGCATCGTTGAAACCATGAAGTGAGGTACAGCATGTAGAGAGGGAAGCTCAAAGGAAGGGTCTGCCCCAGCATGTAGGGACAGCTGAGGGGATGGGATGGGACAGGACACAGACTTCACAGCAGTGAGGACACAGGCTCAGCCGGTCAGTGGTGAAGTAGGTCGTAGAGAAACTGTTCCTACCACTGCGATCAATACACTGATACTTTTAAGTGTCCATATAAAGCAAAAAGATTCATATTTGCTTTTATAAGGTCTTATGTGAAAGATTGACTTCAGGTCACCTTGCCAGATAACTGAGGAGGTATGAAAGGTCTCTGTCAGAAACTGAATTTTAACTAGCTTTCCCAAGTAATCTTGGTATATAAAGCCTGATGTTCTGAAAAATATCACGTCAAAAATAATTACTGGAAATGAGTCAGCATAGTTCTGGCTGGATCAAGGAGGTATGGGAGGGAATCTTTAGGGTTAAATTCAGTACCAGACCTGTCAAGTCATGTAAAGTGCTTTTCTGAAGGATGTTTTTGCCAGACACGAGCATTATTTGATGCATTTTACAAGACATGCATATCTTTTCTCAATTGCGCTGCATAACATAAAGGTCTGAGGAAATACTTACTGCTAATGACTTTTGTGTTTCACCTCTCTAGTTGCAGTATCTGTTCTTTATTTTAGTATGGTGAAGCAAACTAGCTAAGTGTCAAGGACTATGCAAATATTAATAGAAGGGGATCTTCAGTATTACAAATTTTATGGCTCAGAGCCAGCTGACAGCAATAATCCCTTCGGGGGACATTTGCTTCCTTCAGTATTAATTGCCTCAAAACCCCATGTCTGGTCGATGTCAATGGTCCAGATTCCCACTGGGAAAGAAGAGAAGCATTTCCAGAGGGCTTTTCATCCAGCTTCTTTTGGAAGCACACTTTGCTGCTCTCTGGAGATGTCCCAATGTCCTTCCACTAACTACAGAGAAATCCTCAACAACCAATTGGAAGAGTCGCTGAGGTTTTCAGGGACTAAACTAGATCACGTGCATGTAATAGGATGCTTAACAGGGAGAAGTCCTCCTTCAGTAACTAAATCTAATAAAACACCATAATTCTTTAAAATAATTTTTTCAAATTAGTTGATGATGTCTGTGCTTGTGCAAGATCCTCAGATCTTGTCTCGGGTATGAACGTGTGTGGGAGAGCTGAACCCCTCAGAGCTGACGTCCTGCCCCTTCTGGCTATGCCATGGTGTGCTGGAACAGTGTGACAAGCAGCTGTGTCAGCCATCTCCCAGTCTGTTGGGCTATCGCTCCCCTACCTTCAAGTGTCCTCAGTAAAAGACATCAAATTTAAACAAGATAGGATCTAGTACAGCAAGACTTATAAAGTTTTTTTGATTGAAAAATTCTGCACTAAGTAAATAGTGACCTGAAGATGGTGGTATCTGAAATGTGTTGTCTGTCACACAGAAGATCTTTGCCTGCATAACAGTGTTAGATAGAGGAACATAGTAGGCCACTATGTTTGCGTAGTGGCCGCAAAAGGTCTGCTATAGATTTATAATTCTTACAAGACTCTTTTATGACCGTGCAATACATCTGTCTAGAGTTGTTCAAATAGGCAAAAGGATATTTCTGCTACTACAATACACCATTTTTAAGTCACTTGCTGTCCATCACAATGCTTATCTGCATAGCACACTTTTGCAAATATTTACATATTGCATGTTAGTATCTCTGAACAACTAGGGTGAATTTTAGTGTTTCCTTTCTTGGACACCAAAAATGTCAGTCTCCATAACAAGCAGCTAGTCAAATTGGTAGTAGTCACACACGCATCACAAGAGGGAACCCAAATGATCCCTGTGATAGGTCTTACTTGAATGAAACAATTTTAAATAATCTAGCAGAATAATCAAGACTTCAACTTCTCTTGTGAGAATCCTTCCCTAAAAGTGCTCCAGCATGCTCCTGGTTCACAGGAGAAACCCAGCGGCATCCTGGAAATAACCTCAGAGTGGATTTGCAGCCTGAAGGAGAGTGAGCTATGGTGGAACAAGGCCCTTAGGAACAGGAGTCTCATCAGGGATGGCTGGACAGGCAGCTGATTAATGATTTTCACTATTCCTCCTCATTTCCCTGTCTCTGCTTATGACTTCTACCTTGTTAAAGGGAAGGAAAAGGGGGAAAGCTTGTCTAAAATACTAGATCATTCTCTAGTTTATGCTAGGTTTATATTTCCTTGATTTAATCTATCACCGGGCACCCCTTGGGGCCAGAAAGGAGGTTTATTTTGTGTCCACCAGAGACTGATCATGACCAGAAACAAGACGCAGATCTGGTGACTGGAGCTTCTGTTACCTGATCTATGTGTCCTGCTCATAGGTGCAGCTGAAATTACTATCAGTCAGCTTTGAATTCTGAAGTACAGACATCTTGGAGAGCAGGCTGGGAGGGACTATCAGCCCCAGCGCTCTGCCTCATCTGAGCACAAGGCTCAGTCTCCTTCCTGCACTCTCCCCGGGGAGAAGGCTTGGTGCCTTCTCCTGCTCTTGGCATGTATTATTTGTGACAGCTGTGGATTTGGGTCTTTTCCTTTTGATGGTAAGTTTTTTGCCAGGGAACTGGGAAGGTGTTAGATGATCTATTGACCATGGCCTACAGACTGGGTGTTTGGTGGACACTTTGAAAAGTGGCATCTATTCCACTGCTGCCTGTGACTATGAGACACAGCCAGAAACTGCGAAGGCTTGGTAGGTAAACCTGCACTGCCAAGTAGAGAAAGCCAGGAGGATAATTCAGCACTGAGCTTTAAGCGGGTGAAGATGTGAAGGCAAGTCAGTCTGCACCATCTGGACTCAAAGACAGAAATGGTCCCGATCTCTTTTATTTACCAGTATAGAAATAGCCAACAAGATGAGATTCCACGAGTCAAGTGATCTTTTCCAGTCTTGTATTACTTACACTGTGAAAGTCAAAGGGAAAAAAAACAAGAAACTGAGAAGCGACTCAAACTTCACAGGCACAGAAAGATTCATCAACTCAGATGTGATTCATATTTGGGAGAAGCCTCAAAATTAAAAGGCCAAAGGACAGAGATGTAACCTCAATACAGCTTTATAGGCTGTTTCAAGTACATGAAAAGAGGAATGAACTCAGGAAAACTGGTTAATGTACATCAATTAATTTTTAAAGAAAATAGTATTCTTCATTATTGACATCATTTGAGCTCTGCCTGCCTCCTTCTATGTTCCATTGGCCATGTCCCACAACAAACACGTAATTCCAGTAAGTTCACAAACATCCTTTGGTTTTAGCAAATGGACAGTCGGTTCCAGAAGATGTGGTTCTGTTCTCGTAAGGATAGCCAAACTGTGCTATAATTATTAAAGCACAGTATTATTAGTTGACTAAAATAGCTTTGCTTTCAGCGATGTGTGTCAAATGATGCTTATCTGACCATGCTGTTGTTCTTGCTGATCCTGCCTGCGTTACCACTGGTTGTGTATTCAGGCTCTGTAAAAAGCTTTTGATTTTCCCATTTAGAAACCAATGTCATTGCCGAATCTGCATGAGTTGCAAGGGAAGTATGTTTGTAGCAATTCTAAAAATCTAGATTGAGGAACAAGTTTTCTGAGCTGCAGCTTGGTCTTTTTTTGGCCACGCAAATACAGGCGGGGTTTTCTGCAAACTACCGAATTGTTTTATCATCATGTCAGCATTCTAGTGGCAAAGAGAGGTGCACAGTCATGCCATCACATTCATGTGCAGAATTTATCTATTCAGTGCTTGCTTGAGAAGAGGTAGGTTTCTACCGAGACTCTAAAAAACAGCCAAACCAGACCATAGTCATCTACGGACTGGCCATTAGCTTGCAATTTTCCCAAGTCTTAGCAACAAATTAAAAGACTGACCACATAAGCATCAAAAATAAATGTCAGTGGAAAATAAAAAGAGGTACACGCCAACACTTAATAATCCATCTGGGAATTCTGTACTGAGAGAACTGAGGCTTTTATCCTGAACAGAAGTGGACGCCTATGGTAGCATCACACAAGCCTTGGATACATTGGGAAGAGGAGGGTTAAAGGCCTGCTTGATGATTAATTGCCACAGCATGCTTCCAAATCTGCTGTCATGAACAGCATGGCCCCAAGCTGCCATCTCTCCTGCCCTAGCTCCACCTGCAGCAAACACCTCCGCCCTGAAGCAACGCCAGGGAGGCCACCTCCCTGCAGGGGAGGGCAAATTATCCCAGTTCCTGCACCCAGAGCATCATCCTCCAGCAAACCACAAATTTTCTGTTTTCTGCGTGCTCCGGGCTGGAGCTTGTGTTTTTCACTTGGACAGGGAGGGGAGGCTGCAGTGGATGTTGGGGTCTCACTCCCCACTTCTGCACAGCATGCCGTCAGTAATATAAATGATCCGTGTTCATACCATGCACAGGCTTTTGATTAAAGCCTAAGCAAATACCAGT